TCCTCCTCCTCCTCCTCCTCCTCCTCCTTCCCCAACTCCTTCCCCCCTCCTCCTCCTAAACCCATTCCATTCGAGCACTGAAGACGTTACCTAGTTGGCCCACAAAACGTCTGCAAAAAAAAACACCCCAAGCTCTGAGATCACCAGGGACCCCCACAGAACGCACACCGATGTCCTGGGCATTGCATCCTGCACAGAGTTTGCCTCGTTGAAATCCTTCCCCTCTTTTTTCCCCCCCTCTCTTCTCTTTCAGGGCTTCGTGGTCGCTGTGCTGTATTGTTTCATCAATGGCGAGGTAAGAAGTTGGAAGCGTTCTTCGCCACAGGGTTTCAGCTTCCAAAGTTAATCATCTTCCTTCCTTCCTTCCTTTTTTTTTTTTTTTGCTGCCGTGCCAGGGCTTAAATTTAATTACATTTGCTTTTTAATTTTGTAAGGTCAACGGGGGGGGTGGTGTTACAATGAAGGGGCTGGTGTGCAGCCCGTAACAACAGAGAAAGAATTTCTGCAATAACTCAGGAGACCTGGCCAAGGGTGCCAAACCTAATCTGAATAATTATAAAGCAATCTCTCTCTCTGATAACTGCCTGATGTAAGATAAATCCAGAAGCCAGGGCTTGTTTGTTTAATTACTGCTCGATTTTAATGCAAAGTGGCTCTGATTAAATTTGAGTTTCCAGATTAGTCCCGACAGACACAGAATATCAGCCCAATAAAATGCCTCTTGAAAATTTAAATTGTCCCTGGAGTGTGTCCAGCAGATGCATAGAGACAGATAGTCCTCGATTTACAACATTTCATCTATTGGCTGTTCAAAGTTACAACAGCACTAAAAAAAAAAAAAAGTGGCTTATGACCGTTTTCCACTGTTACGACCGTTGTAGGGTCACGTGATCAAAATTCAGACGCTTGGCAACTGACTCATATTTATGACGGTCGCGGTGTCCCGGGGTCATATAACCTGACAAAGTCAGATTCACATTACAACTGAGTTATTAACTTTAACAACTGCAGTGATTCACTTAACAGCCGTGGCAAGAAAGGTCGTAAAATGAGACGAAACTCACTTAACTGTCTTGCTTAGCCACAGAAATTTTGGGCTCAACGGCGGTCATTAGTCAAGGACTATCTGTACGTCCTTAAAAATACCCAGGGTTAGTGGGAATTGCCTTCCATCTGCCAGAGAGGACTAGAATTCCCAGCTCCCGGTCTGTAGCAGATTTTTCCCAAGGAAATCCTGCTGTTGGCACTTTCAGTTGTCTGAAGCACTGCAGGCAGTCCTCAGCTTACGACCGTTCATTTGGTGATCGCTTGAAATGACGGTAGCACTTGAAAAACGTAAATTCCAAATTCTGCAGTCATATAGTCCAGGGCTTTTCAACCAGTGGTACGGGTACCACCTGTATTACATTGGCACCTGGCAGGTGGTACGTATGCGACCAACCCAGAAAAGTGGTAGTGGGGGAGGGGAATGAGCTGAACCGGTGGCAGCACCGCACAAGGCTGAGCGAGAGACGGCTGGAGCTGCAGGGCTGTCAGGGCTCAGGGGAAGCGCCAGGATCAGCACCAGGCTCCAACTGGAGCTCCGCACTGATCCTGATGTTTCCTCTGAGCCCAGAAGAAGCGCCGATCAGCTGGAATGTTGCAGCCTCTCCAGGGTCTTGTGATTTACATTCAGATGCTTGGCAACTGATTCATATTTATGATGGTCACAATGTCCCAGGGTCATGTGAAGTGACCAAAACCTGCTGCAACCCCCCAGCAGACGGGGGGAATAAAAACCAAACACCCCCCACCCCACCCCCACTGCCAATCCTCAACAGAAATGCTCACAACAATGAAAACCTCGTACAGAAGAGTGCTGCTGGATGGGCAGGCAGGTGTCTTGCTCGACTGTGGCTTGGGGGGCACTTTTTTCAGTGCCATTGTAACTTCGAACAGTCACTAAGCGAACTGTTGTAAGTCGAGGACTACCTGTACTTTATTATTTTTTTTCCTTTTTTTTTGGGTCATCAAGTTTTTGACCCCTTGCTAGGCGACTGGTGGTACTCGGATATTGCCATATCCTAAAAGTGATAGAATGGGTGAACAGATTGAAAAGCCCTGGTCTAAGCAAAATTCAGGCCCTCAGCACAGGGGGTTGGACTAGAAGACCTTCAAGGTCCCTTCCAGCCCTATTCTGACTGATGGAGGAGTACCCATAACATGTTTTTCTCTCCTGTTCCTTTCTCCCCTCCTGCCCTCTCTCAGGTTCAAGCCGAAATGAAACGCAAGTGGCGTAGGTGGCACCTGGAACGCTTCCTGGGTTCGGATATGAAGTATCACCACCCGTCCGTCGGAAGCAGCGGCACCAATTTTAGCACCCAGATCTCCATGCTGGCCACCTGCAGCCCCAAAACTCAACGCAGCTCCACTTTTCAAGCCGAAAAGACACTGGTTTGAGAAGCCTGACCAGCTAACCACGCCTGGCGTATAAGATGCAAAGAAAGGCGATGGCAACAGTATTTGGCATTATTATTATTATTATTATTTAAGACCATTTTTGCAAGCAGACCGGGACAACATTCTGGGACCCAGAGACTCAGAACGAGGAAGGTTAAATGTGGACAGATTCCTCCTTTTTTCTGTTTTGGAACCGAAGAGCGTTGCTTACAGATTTGAAGGTGAAGACTTGAGGGCTTGTGGTTTTTTGCAAGACGTCCGTGCCAGCTTCTACTTGACCTGGCTGGAATGGAAGGAACTAATGGAAGACCATCCACAGATGGCCTTGCCCTTGCCTACTTCTTGGATCGTGAAATGTCTGCAAAAAAACAACTGAGCTCAAGAGAGCACCAAGGACCCCACAGGCATTCTCCCTCTTCTTTTTCCTCTTTATTTCCCTCCTCCTCCCACTCCTTTCTGCAAACCCCATTCCCTTTTAGCCCTGATGAGGTTACCTAGTTGGGTCATGAAACATCTATAACAAAATCGCAAAGCTCAGAGAGCACCAAGGAAACAGAGTTCTCCTCCTCCTCCTCCTCCTCCTCCTCCTCCTCCTCCTCCTCCTCCTCCTCCTCCTCCTCCTCCTCCTCCTCCTCCTCCTCCTCCTCCTCCTCCTCCTCCTCCTCCTCTCCTAGTTGGATCATGAAATGTCTGCATGAAAACAAGCAAAGTCAGAGAGCGCCAAGAACCCCACAGTCCTTCTCTTCCTCCTCCTCCTCCTCCTTCTTCTCCTCTTCCTCTTCCTCCTCCACTCTGCAAACCCCACACTCTTCTAACATTGATGATATTACCTAGTTGGGTAACGAGACATCTTCAAGAAAACAACCAAGTTCAGAGAGCATTGAGGACCCCATAGTCCAGTGATGGCGAACCTTTTAGAGACCGAGTGCCCAAAAACTGGCCCCGGCCTCGCTCCACCCCCTGCCCTGCCCCCACTCAACGCTCCCATCACCTGCCCCACCTGCCTGCAGGGCCAATCATCGCCTCCAGGGCCCGCCGCAGATTGCCCAGGCAGTCCAGCAGTGCTATGGCGGTCACGCCCTCTGCCCGCGCCCTGCAGCATCAACTGTGCACAATGGGGTGTGAGGGCAGAGTCTAGTTTACGCTGCCTGGTTGCCATGTCCTTGGCTGTGCTGCTCGGCATGGGCCACTCTCGCGGGGGGGGGGGCTGCTGGAGAGGAGGGGGTCACAGGGGGAGGCGAGGCTGGGGCAACGGCACGTGTGCCCACAGAGAGGGCTCTGAGTGCCGCCTCTGGCACCCGTGCCATAGGTTGGCCACCACTGCCATAGTCTCTCTCCTTCTCCTCTTCTTTCTGTTCTCCTCCTCCTCCACCACCACCTCCTAGCTCTCCACAAACCCTACTCCCTTCTAGCCCTGATGAGGTTACCTAGTTGGGTCATGAAACATCTGTAACAAAATCACAAAGCTCAGAAAGCACCAAAGAAATAAAGTTCTCCTCCTCCTTCTCCTCCTCCTCCTCCTAGCTGGATCATGAAATATCTGCAAAAAAACCACCAACCTCAGAGGGCCCCCAATTATTTCATTTGCCAGCAGATTCTACAAGAAAAGACCCAAAGGAACGTTTGAAGTAGGATCGCGTTCCCCAGGCCATTAGAATCCAAATCTGTTCCTTTCCTCTCTTTTTTTGCCAGTGGATTTCAGAACCCAGAAAACCATCTTCCTTCAGTGGGAGACCTTTTCTTTTTCTATACAGAAACTTCCTGGACCTCGAGTGCTGAAATACAGGTAGTCCTCAACTTAACGACCAGTTGCTTAACAAACTTCTGATATTACAATGGACTCCTCAAAGCTACTTGAGTCCCGTTTTCAGAGTTACGACACCCACACACCTCCCCCCAGTCATGTGTTTCCTTTTTAAGTACTTGCAACCAGCTCATTTTTACAGCCATTTGCCGTGTCCTGGGGTTGCATGACCACAATTTGTGAGGTTGTTTACCGATTCCTGGCATTAATTTCCAGTTTTGGGCAAAAGAAACAAACAAACAAAAAATTGTCAATTGGGGAAAATATTCACTGAAAACTATGTTGTTCACTTAACAACTATGGGGTTTGCTTAATGAAAATGTCCTAAAATCAGGTCCTGTCATGTGACGCCTTCTCTGCAATGACATACAATTATAATTCTGTCCTCGGTTCCAATCATGTGACCACATGTGACTTATAACCACAATTCAGCCCAAAATTTTCATTGCTAAGCAAGACAGTTGAGTTTTTTCCACATTTTATGAGGTTTCTTGCCACAGTTGTTAAGTGAATCACGCCAGTTGTTCAGTTTATAAGACGGTTGTTAAGTGAGTCCGGCTTCCCCCATTGACTTTGCTCATCAAAAGGTCACAAAAGGGGATCACGTGACCCCGGGACACTGCGACAGTCATAAATACGAGCCAGTTGCCAAGCATCCAAATTTTGTTCCGGGGATGCTTGGGAAACGGTCGTAAGTCCCCTTTTTTCATTGCCACTGTAACTTCAAACGGTCACTAAATGAATGAGGGCTACCTGTACTATTGTAGCAGCTTCTCAATTGTAGAAATTAGAAGCTGTTGGTGCTAGAAGTGAAGATGACTTTCCAAATTCACAACATATTCCTGATTGGTGTTGGGTCTGGACCCACAGATGATAGCCAAGCTGCAAATGATGGTTAGGAAAAGTTCACACAGCACGTTGTCAGGCCTGCAAGCAGCACTTCTTGATAAGGCATGAAGTCTTCCTACATCCAGGCTGAGGAAGAAAATAGTTTGTCCTTCTCAAACTATTCCAGAAAATCCTGAGCAGCCACACATTGGAAGATCCTTCTCCAAACCTTGACTGATTGGAAGATCCTTCTCCAAACCTTGGAAGATCCTTCTCCAAACCACATTGACCATTTTTCAATGGTGGTTAGCTTCTGTGCTCATTTGCCATGATCCAAGATCATGTCCTGTGGTCCAGAAGTCCATCATCATTGGATGGATACTACCCATGAAAGCCTCCATTCAAGGTAGATCATTTCGCTTTCTGTTGATATCTCTCTGAAGAACATCAACATTGTTGGTGTCTATCTCCTTCATTGTTGCACCACAAAGCTCACAAGGATGAAAACTGAGAAGATAACCAACAGATGTGGACATTTTTGGAGAACCTACCATCTCTTGCTACCTGTTTTCGACGTAGGAGCTGAGGAACACCTAACTTTGATGTTCAATCAATCTTCAGTCAATAGTTCTCCACTGTGGCTTCCATCTTGTAAATATTTCAGACCTGTCCAGGCCATCATCTGAAATCTGAACATATTTTTTCCAGTGGTATTTCACATTTCCACCGATTATGATTTTTCTATATAAGAAAAATCCATTAAACGTGCAAAGACTTCTCGTTTCCATTGACGGACCTTCTGTTATTTATTGAGCCAGAACTGTAAATATGAGCTTTCCATGGATTCATCTCAGGTTTTGGTTTTTTTAAAAAAAAATAAAAATTCAGAATAGTGAGATGGAGATGAGTAGGACCAGGTGATTTTTTTTTTTTTTTTTGTGATTATCATTGCCCAAAAAAAAATAAAGTTACTGCACATCGTTGGAGAAAAGGATGGCTGTCTGCTTGCTGCAACTGAGTTCGCATTAGTATAAAGTATTTATGTAAAATTAAGAAAGGCAGCTGGATCGGAAATCCATTAATTTGTAGACTTGGTCATTAATTTTTCACAATTTTGTAGTTTGGCTGAGGGTTACCTGGTGTGGGCTGTCCAACTCCAGATATACTTATTGGAAGGAACTAAGCATATTATAACATCTCTTCTTTCATTGCTGCCGCCTCTTACAGAGATGAAAGTATAACAGAATAAGTGTTAGAAGGGACCTTGGAGGTCATCTAGTCCAACCCCTTGCTCAAGCAGGAGACCCTATACCATTTCAGACAAAGGGCTGTCCAATCTCTTCTTAACTTCTAATGGAAGTTCTGAGGGTAAGCTGTTGCACTGATAAATTGATGTCATTGTCAGGAAATTTCTCCTTAGTTCCAGGTTGCTTCTCTCCTTCATTAGTTTCCATCCGTGGCTTCTTGTCCTGCCTTCAGGGGCTTTGGAGAATAAATTGGACCACCACCCCCTCTTCTTTGTGGCAGCCTCTTGAATATCACCCACTTAATTTATTATTGAATATAACTTTAGGCTGACAGGTTTGGAGATGTTGTGGACATTGGCAGAAACAGAATGTAGATGGCTGGAGAAATTCCAACTTCCCAACTATTCTTTCAGCAACTTTGAGGCAGTTTGGTCTAGTGGCTAAGGCTCCAGGAGTAGAAAATGGGAGACGGTCAGTTGTAGTCTTGCCTTAGGCATGAATGGGGGCTGGGTCACCTTGGGCCAATCGCCAGGAGATCTTGAATTCTAATCCCATTTTAGGCATGAAAGCCAGCTGGGTGACTTTGTGACAATCAACCAGGAGATGGTGAGTTCTAGTCCTGCCCTAGGCATGAAAACCAGCTGAATGATTTTGGGGGATTCAACAGGAGACGGTGAGTTCTAGTCCTGCTTTAGGAATGAAAACTGCCCGAGTGACTTTGGGCCACAGCGAGTTCTAGTCCCACCTTAGACATGAAAGCCGGCTGGGTGACTTTGGGCCAATCACCAGGAGACAGGGAGTTCTAGTCCCATCTTAGACATGAAAGCTAGCTGGCTGACTTTGGGCCATCATTCCCTGTTTTCCAGCCCAGCCCACTGCACATGGAATAGGAAGCAACCTCATTAGGTATGTTGAATGCCTTGAGTTATTTCTCAAAATGATAACGATGGCATAAAAGTAAATTAATTAATTAACTTCAGCAAATCCATCTGACTTCTCAGAGCAAGCCAGAATGAAGAACGATACGGATAGTCCTCAACTTACAATCATTCATTTAGTGACAATTCAAAGTTCCAGCAGCACTGAAGAAGGGACCATTGCAGCATCCCCCCATGGTCACGTGATCAAAATTCAGACACTTGGCAACTGACTCGCATCTATGACAGTTGCAATATCCCAGGCTCATGCAATCCCCT